AATGACAACTGCAACAAAAAAGCAGCCAGGTGTTGTGGTAGGTGTCTGTAGTCCCAGCTACTGAAGCAAGAGAATTGCTTAAGCCCAAGAGTTTGAGGTTGCTATAAGCTATGACGCCATGGCACTCTACTGAGGGCTATATAGTGAAATTCTGTCTCAAAAAAATATAAATAATAATAATTCTGTCTCATAAAATAAAATGTCACAATATCTGCAAGTTATTTTCAGTGGTTCAGCATATACATACACAGAGATAAAAGGAAACAGGAAGAAAATGTTCTCAACTGCTGAAACAGGTAATGGATATGTATTTGTTGTGCTATTATTAACTCTTCCATATTCAAAAACAGTTTTATAATAAATAATTGGGGAAACTACCTAGAAATGCACAAAGTAAGTTGGGCACGGTGGCTCACGCCTGTAATCCTAACACTCACGGAGGTCAAGGTGAGTGGATTGCTTGAGCTCATGAGTTGGAGACCAGCCTGCGCAAAAAGCACAACCCCCATCTCTACTGACAATGAAAGGGTAGCATCTGTGGCTCAAAGGAGTAGGGCACCGGCCCCATATGCTGGAGGTGGTGGGTTCAAACCCTGCCCTGGCCAAAAACTGAGGCAAGAGAATTGCCTGAGCCCAAGAGTTGAAGGTTGTTGTGAGCTATGATGATGCCACAGCAGTCTACCCAGGGCTACAGCCTGAGACTCTATCTCAAAAAAAAAAAACCACACACACACACAAAGTACAAAATAAAAGCATCAGCTGAGTGAGAAGCAATGCAATGTCTAAAGAAGGTATGGGAGCAAGGGCATGCGTAGAGAGATGCCAGAGTCATGGAAATTTTTATTTACCTTAAATGTAAAGTTTGCATCAAATATTAGCTCCTTTTCATGTCCTGTGATTCCTCCACAATAAATAACTTGGCATCTTTTGGTTGGTTCTGTCTTAGGGCATTTGAAGAGGCGAAATGTTGCAGAAACAAAACGACAATCACCTGAAAACAGAAAACAGAATTTACTCATGTTCCATCTTGGGCACTCCTACAGCTATTGGTTTGCTCAGGAGGTGAGGAGCAAACACACTATAAAGATGATTTTCTTTTTTTTTTTTTT